ATGGTAGGGGGAAAGCAAAGGAGGAGGTAACAATGCTTGCTATGAAATGTACTTATTACCCTACTCGTGTAACTGTAACCACTCTATGCAGTATTTTTACAATAAAAATAAATATAAAAAATTAAGCAGATAGGGTATTAATTAGCCCAAGGAAGAAGGAAATTTAACTGGGACAAATAAGTCCCAGGTAACCTGAGAGACATAGATACAGACCCTGGGAATAGAACATGGCTGCAGTCTGACAGTTACAGAAACTTGAAAAAGTGAACAAAAATAGTTTTTGTGTTATGCTTGCTTGCTCGGCAAATCTGCTAAAATTTGAAACTTGACCATTTGTGAACAGCTTGTTATTGATTAAGAATAGGGCCAAACATTGAAGGCAGGACCTCCCTATAGAGAAAAACTCCAGGCTAGTCACTAAAAGGAAATTGCACAAAGACTTGAGTAAAGTAGAGAGTTAAACACTAGGATGCCTTGTCTCACCGCTAGGCCATTTAGGAAGCTCATCAATGCTTTCCTAAGGCAGGGCCCTCCTAGCTCACCCCATTGAGCCAGGCATCCGCACTTCAAAGGATGGCTTGCCTCATGCCAGGCCTTGGAGTTAGGTGCAGGCCCCCATCTACTGCCTAGGCACCAGGATGAAATTATTTAGGCACAGCCACCTTCATTACTTTGCTTTGATGGCTTATTGCCTTGGTTACTGGAATTGTTATCACCATTTATAATCACTAACTGCTAGTTCTGCTTGTGTAACTTGCTTTGCTGATTGCAAAACTGCCACTCACCACCTGTGAGTCCCCTCGTGGGGGTTTCTCCTATATAAGCCTACCCCATTTTGAGCTCCAGGCTGTTCTTCGCTGCCCTGACAGAGTGGGGAGCAGTCTCGCAGCTAATAAAGATTCCTTGCCCAATTTACTGAGTGTTGGTGACTCCTTTGGCCAATCATGGGTTCAAATCCCACTGGCCCCAGAAATTGTGATACTTCAGGGCTATGTATGGTCCAATCAGATGCCAGAGCAGCCTAAACTCACCAAAATGACTATAAGAAAGAGTGAGCTTCTTACTCTCTAACTCAACTCTTCTTCACTTAGGAAACAGGTAAATAAGACCTCCTATGGCATAAGGCAGCACTCCCAGCTAGGAGTCCAGGTTGGGGTTTCTACAAACTCACTAATAGTTATAAGGCTTTCCCCAGTTCCCTCTGATGTCTTACTCTTACTGTTACAAATAGCTTGGGATGTTGGGATGTCACATAAGAATAAGGACAGCAACTCAAAAGGAACTCGGCAAAGCAAAGTTTACTTTTTTTTTTTTTGTCAGTCATGGGGCTTGACCTCTGGGCCTGGGCGCTGTCCCTCAGCTCTTGATCTCATGGTGAGTGCTCTACCACTTGAGCCACAGCGCCACTTCCAGTTTTCTGGTGGTTCATTGGAGATAAGAGTCTCATGGACTTTCCTGCCCAGGATGGCTTTGAACCAGAATCCTCAGATCTCAGCCTCCTAAGTAGCTAGGATTACAGGCCTGGGCCACCGACACCTGGCAAAGCAAAGATTGCTTCTGCAGAAGGGTGTGCCAAAACTCTGGCAAGCAAGTGAAATGTCAAACACAATTGACTCCATCCCAGGAGGCTAACTTCAGTTTTATGAGAAAGACCATGACCAGGTCCATCTATAAGGGCACCTGGAATTAAAGACTAAAACAACACCTCCCCAGCTAGTTTCTTGTTGTCCCACTAGTCTCCTTAATTGGTCAACACCTAGTCTCCCTGGTGCCCATTAAGCTTTTCTGTCTTTTAAAAAACCCTGTTCAGGGGCTGGGAAGGTGGTTCAGTGGTAGAGCGCTTGCCTTGCATGCCTGAGGCCCTGGGTTCGATTCCTCAGCACCACATAAGCAAAAAGAAAAAAAAGCCGGAAGTGGCGCTGTGGCTCAAGTGGTAGAGCGCTAGCCTTGAGCTGAAGAGCTGAGGGACAGTGCCCAGGCCCAGAGTTCAGGCCCCACAACCAGACCAAAAAAAAACCTTGTTCAAAGCTGGGTGCCAGTGGCTCACGCCTATAATCCTAGTTACTCAGGAGGCTGAGATCTGAGGATCATGGTTCAAAGCCAGCCTGGGCAGGAAAGTCCATAAGACTCTTATCTCTAATAAACCACCAGAAAACTGGAAGTGGTGCTGTGGTTCAAGTGGTAGAGCGCTCGCCTTGAGCTAAAGAGCTGAGGGACAGTGCCTAGGCCCAGAGTTCAAGCCCCACAACTGACCAAAAACAAAAAACAATCCTGTTCAACTTTCCTTCCTCTTGGAGAGATCTTTGTGTGGCTGGACCCTACTATAGACCCCACTCATGACTGCAGGCTTAAATAAAGGACCTCCAAATTTTTCAGTGTGTGGAGCTACTCTGTTTCAGCTTGCATAGGTACAACACAAGCACACAGAGTGGGCAGGCTGCTCCCTTTTTATCTCTAACCCAGCAGGCCCCACTCCTCTGCTCATTGGCTAAGTTCAAAAGGATGTGTTTTACCTAACAGTATATAATGAAAACTCAAGGAGCTTCTAACAAGATCTTAATTAAAGTCCTCAGGAAAAGGATGTGAACAACTAAAATGTAACTGACAAGGGACCAACCACCTGGCCCAAAGTAAGAACCCTTCAGAAAAACAATTCTCTCAAGATTAACAGAAAGGAAGCAAACATCCAAAAATCTCTAGACAAATTTCCAGCCCAAAGATCTGAAAAAGGAGGGAGTGAAGTTGGAAACTCCTAAGTCAGGAGGAAGAGGAGCGAGGCCCACAATGCATCCTTTCTTGATGTCATCAGGCGAGTCTGGGATTCCTGGAAAGATGCTACTGTATCTCACTTTTCAGCCCTTTCTCAAGATTCATGATTGTCTCCTTCTCCTCTTCCTTTTCCTCCTCCTCTTTCTTCTCTTCTTCCTCTTTCTTCTTTCTAAAGGTGCTAGGGTTTGAACTCACACTTGCTGGACAAGCAAGACCTCTACCACTTGAATCATACCCTTAGCCCTTTGTGTTTTATTTTTCAGGCAGGGTCTGATTTTGGTCTAGAGTTAGCTTTGGACCACAGTTGTTCTATGTATGCCTCCTGTGTAGTTGGGATTATAGAGAGACTCTACCACACCCAGCTTGTTTGTTGATATAGGGTCTTTCTAACCTTTCTATCAGTGCTAGCCTTGAGCTGCAACCCTCCCAATCTTTGCTTTATAAGTAGCTGGGATGCGAGCTGTGTGCCATCATACCTAGCCTAGGATTCTTGATAAACCTCCTTGATTTCTAAAAATCTCACCTTCCACCATTAAAACATAATAAATGGACATGAAACAAATACAGAACTCTAAGCATGCGCACACAGACAAAAGGAGGATACTCTTAGGGGAGGAACCCAGGGGTGTTAACTTCTCTGAACATTCAAAACACTATTGACTGGAACTCCAGGAAATGGAAACATGGGGGTTTTGTTGTTATTGTTGGTGGTGGTGTTAGTATGTTTTTCTTGGATTTTTTTGGGGGGAGGGAAAAGAGGGGAGCAGAAAGGGAGGGAGGGAGGGTGAACAAATGCAATTGCTCTATTCAGTATACACTACATATGTATGCATGTATGTATGTATGTAACTTACAGGTAGGGACAGGGAGGGGAAACTGAGAGAAAGCGAAGGAAGGAGTGACATTATCCAGAAAAAGAGAAATGTACTCATTACCTGACTTACGGTGAACCTATGTACAAAACCTGAAAAATTAAAAGTAATCTGGGCAATGGAGGTTCACGCCTGGAACCCTAGCTACTAAAGAGGCTGAAATCTGAAGATCAGAGTTCAAAGCCATCCTGGGCTATGAGAGACTTTTTTGAGTGCTCTATATAGTTTTTTTTTTTTTTTTTTGTCGGTCGTGGGGCTTGAACTCTGGGCCTGGGCGTTGTCCCTCAGCTCTTCAACTCAAGGCGAGCGCTCTACCACTTGAGCTACAGCGCCACTTTATGAGAGACTTTTTTGTCCCAATTAACCACCTAAATACTGGAAAGTGAAAATGTGGGTCAAAGTGGTAGAATGCTAGCCATGAGCAAAAAGGCTCAGAGACAGTATCCAGGAGTTTAAGCAATGACCAACAAGTAAATAAATAAATAAATAAGAAATGAACTGTATCATATTGCCCACAACCCTAAACTCTGAAGACAAATGGACAAATAAATTACCAATTGGCAGAAATTTTAAATGTATGGGCTTCATACCCAGGCATTGGTGGCTAATGTTTATACTAGCTGCTCAGGAGACTGAGATCTGAGGATCACAGTTCAGAGCCAGCCTGGACAGGAATATCTGTGAGACTCTTACCTCTGTTTAATCACAGAAAAAGCTGGGAGTGGTGCTGTAGCTCAAATGGTACAATGTGAGCCTTGAGTAAAAAGAGCCCAGAGAGAGTAGAAAATGCCCAGGCCCAGAGTTCAAGTCCCAGGACCATAAAAAAGAGAATATATGTGAGTCATTTATCATCACAACAGTATTCTGTGGTTGGCATCACTCTTCCTACCTAACAACTGAGGGGAAAAAAAGTGAGGGTTTAAGAATATAAGACAGGAAGCATAATTTAACCAGAATAAAAGAATCAGATTCCAGTGATGAGGAAGGAAACCCCAAGACTCTTATCATAGCAACAAAGATAAATTCTAATATTGAGGCCAATGAAAGGCTAGGATGGAGTCTAATGGAATAGAGGAGAAAGTACAGATTTAAGGAAAAGGACTTTGACTCTTTAAAAAGCATTACACAATTATGCCATGTATATGTATGTATATAGAGAGAGACATATATAAAGACATATACACACACATATTCACACATACTCACATATAAACTTGAAATGGAATATATGCAGGATGGTTAGTAAGCTAGGAACAGACATGTGTAATTCATTCAAGATCACCTTATGATGGCTTCACTTCCCAATTTTTCAGTTCCTATCTCACAAACCAGAGAACTTCATCTGTGTCTGTTTTAGACATGGCCAAGGAGGGGAAAGGACATGAACAAGTAAGAGAGAGAAAAAACGTCAATGGCATTTTTGTTCCTATATTAGGGAGAGAAGATACATAATAATCTGACACCATTATTATTTTTTGTGTGCCAGCCATGGGGCTTGAACTCAGGGCTATGTGCTGTCAAGGCTAGAACTCTACCACTTAAGCCACAGCTCCACTTCTAGTTTTTGGTGGTTAATAAGATTTAAGAGGGCTGGGAAGGTGGCTCAGTGGTAGAGCACTTGCCTTGCATGCATGAGGCCCTGGGTTCGATTCCTCAGCACCACATAGCAGAAAAAGCCAGAAGTGGTGCTATGGTTCAAGTGGTAGAGTGCTAGCCTTGAACTGAAGAGTTCAGGGACAGCGCCCAGGCCCAGAGTTCAGGCCCCACTACTGACGAAAAAAATAATAATAAGATTTAAGAATCTCAGGGACTCTCCTGCCTGGGCTGGCTTCAAACTGCAATCATAGGATCTCAGCCTTCTGAGTAGATAGGATTACAGGTGTGAGGCTCCCAGGTGACTTCTGTCAATTTGTAATACAAGTCCTTAGCTGTATGGCACATATGAAAAGTCGTCCAAGTGTATGGTGTGATGATTAGGAAATGGGAACCTTAACTATTTTGATATTCTGAGAATACAAATTAGTCCATCCAGGGTGGAAATCAGCTGGAGGTTTTCTTAAAAACTTCAAAGCAGAGCTTCCATGTGATTCATTGTGCAACTTCTGGATATATACCCCAAACAATCCTTCAGCTTACTGTGGAGATTCCTGAATGTGTATTTTTATTGATTTACGATTTTAAAAGATAGTGAAAATGTGGTGTATATGTACACAGTGAAGCTTTATTCAGCTTTAAAGAAGAAAAATTATTTTACTTTAAGGAAAATAGATGGAACTGGAGATCATCAAATTAAATGAAATAAGTTAGTTTCAAAGACAAGCATCACATATTTTCTCTTTTTAGAGTCTGCAGTTGTGAACTTAAAAGGGGCCTGTTAAGGGATTTAGAAGAGAGAAAAGGGCAAGGATGGGGATTTAATATTAACCCATAAAACAAATGAATATGCTGAAGGTACATTATATGGGTGGGTGAGAATATCAGAATAAAACACCTCACTTTGCACAATTAATGTACACTGGTTTTTAAAAGAAAAAGCCATCCCCTGGTGGCTCACACCTATAACTCTAGCTACTTAGGAGGCTGAGATCTGACAATTATGGCTCAAAGACATCCAAGACAGGAAAGTCCATGAGACTCTTATCTCCAGTTGACCAGCAAAAATCCAGAAGTGAAGGTGTAGTTCAAGCGGTGGAGCACTAGCCTAGAGTTAAAAAGCCAAGAGACAGTGTCCAGGCCCTAAGTTCCAGGCTCACAACCAGCACGTGTGGGTGTGTACACACACACAGAGAAAACAAAGAAAAAACAAACAGAATGCAAGGGCACCTATCTACATGCTTCATATTTTAATGTTTTATATTTTAATTATGCTTTGTATTGAGAATCAGGTATTTATGCTTGTGTCTGTTCAATTGTTCTAGAAACATTAGTTGATAATGTGGGAGTTGGAGGTGTGGCTCAGTCAGTAGAACACCAGCCAATGAGCAAAATTTCAGGTACTTAGTTTGAGTCTCAGTCTTAAAACAACAAAAGAAAAGCAAAGATAATGCTATCCTCCCTCCATTGATTTGGTTTTTATTTTCTCTTAAAATTCACAAGGTTTCTTTGTATAGGTTTATATCTTGGTTTTTTTTCTGTGGTCCCTGTTTCTAGACATGACAGATAACAATGTAGTCTTGATATTGGAAGGACTATCATACCATTTTGTTTTTCTTTTAAAAATATTATGCTCTTCAAGTACTTTTGCAATTTACATAGAAACTTTTTAATATTCATATGGATATCTATAAGAAGTTTTGATTATGAGTGTTAAGCCTGAATACAAATTTGGGGATTATTATCAACATTACGAAGTTGAGAGTTCCATTTGATAAACATAATATACCTTTCTTTTTATTCAAATCACCTTTACTTTTTTGTTACTTTTATTCATTGTGTTGTGTTAGCATACAAGTCTTGTATGTGTTTATTAATATACCTATTTATTTAGCAATTGTACATTTTAATCTGGTATTTTTAGGTAGAGAAACATAGGTGATATTGGTAGGGCCTCTGGTAATGGTAGGCCTCATGCTGAGGCCTATGTGCCTCTGGCCTACCAGTGACCTGGACCTCAGAATGACCATTCAGGCAATGGCAGGCAAGTGGAGGAACACAGATCTCATGTATGGAGGAGCAAGTTCCTTGGTCTCTTTCTCCTGCCCCTGGCTGCAACCATTGAGATGAATTTCCTGTTTCCTGTAGTGTATGGCATGCATAAGGTGAGGGGGCTGAGCTCATCATTGCACTGTGGGGTGTAGTGGGATATGAGGCTGTAGACCTGTGTGGTAGATTGGTATGGGGCTCCAAGGATAGCAGTATGAATGTGATCAGAATCAGATATCCAGGCTGCCCACCACTCAGGGTCCCCAATTCAGAAGCCAAGAGTTGAGGAAAATGATGAGTTTCATTCAAAGCCAGTCCTGAAGGAGATAGCAGGGCATCTACCTGGAGGAGATGAGGGGCACATAGTACTTTGATGAAATAAGAAGGAAAATAGTAAGGTTGCAGGCTTGGCAGTGTATCAATCAACTAAGGCCTGTGCCTACTTCAGAATCTGGCAATGGACTTCCATGTTTAGGGTTGCCATGAATATCACCTAAAATGATCTGTAGATTCAACATAATCACCATCAAAATTCCAATGAAGGGGCTGGGGGTTTAGCCCAGCAGAAGGGCGCCCGCCTGATGTGCACAAGGCCCTGGGTTCGGTCCTCAGCCCTGGAAAAAAAAAGACAAAATTCCAATGAAATTCTCCACAGAAATAGAATTGTACATTTCACATAGAAACATGAAAAACTCCAAACAGCCAGAACATTTCCAAATGAAAAAAAAAAAAGAATGCCAATCACAATGTCATCACAATACTCGAGTTTAAATATTACTACAGAGCTATAGTAACAAACCCAGCATGGGCTGGCACAAAAAACAAATGTGTACACTAATGGACTCAAATAGAAGGCCTAGAATAAACCTATGGTTACAACCGTATGATTCTGGACAACTATAAACAATATTTTAGATAATCCTGGCTGTGAGAAAAAAAAAACAAATTACTTTTGTTTGCATTTCTATAATTATTGAAGTTGAACATTTTTAATGTGAAAGACTTGAAGAAAGCTTAACATAGAACCATTCTAGTAGCAAGGAACAGCGCTTACTATTATTTAACAATGCTTAATAGTGTTTAACTGGTGCCCCAAATCCCAAGGAGAGGGGGATTCCTTTGATTGTGCTTATATAGAACATACTTTATGTATCTATTAATCTGCTGTGAACGTCTGGTTTGCTTCCATCTCTTAAATTCAATGAACAGGGGCTGGGAAGGTGGCTCAGTGGTAGAGCACTTGCCTTGCATGCCTGAGGCCCTGGGTTCGATTCCTCAGCACCACATAAGCAAAAAGAAAAAAGCCGGAAGTGGCGCTGTGGCTCAAGTGGTACAGCGCTAGCCTTGAGCTGAAGAGCTGAGGGACAGCGCCCAGGCCCAGAGTTCAGGCCCCATGACCGGACTCCCCCCCCAAAAAAAAAAATTCAATGAACACAGGTATGCAGACATTTCTTTAGGATTTTGCTTTCAGTTCTTTCAGATCTATACCCAGAAGTGGAATTGCTGGACCATATGGTAATGCTAGTTTTTGAAGACCTCCCCTTCTTTTATGCAAGGTTCAACAAACCTTCGATAATCTTGAATTACTTTGAGCTGACTTTGATAAACTCTATCCTTGTATCTCTGTTTCAGCTAGGGCTTCATTGCCACACAATTCAAAGGATGAACCCTCTGCGATTTCTGCTGCAGTTGTGTGACAGAGTGGCCATCTGTAAATGGGTAAGAAAAGTGATCAAGGGTTCTGATGCCAACCCTGTTGCAAATAGGAACTGGAGTCTTGAAGACAATTCCTTCAACCTCCCCCTCCCCCCATCCCCTGCCAAATAACAAATCCTGTCATTCCATAGCTGGACAGTAGAGGGAGCTTTATCTAAACATTGGACTTTAAACTTCACTCAGTGTTTGAGGTGATATTCAGCTTTGAAACAGTGTATTAATGCCAGTGATACCTAAAAGCCATTCACAGATGAGTTGAAATGTGTAGATAGACAAGATTCCTGAAGTTCTCCATTCCTACTCATCTCTATACCACCAAATGCAAAAGTTGTCCAATAAAAATCTGGGCAAGTTGCTTCCTTACAATATTGTTTCTTCTACATGTTTAGTGATAAAAATTCAATGAGAGAAACTACGCAGAGTTGTGTTAAATTGGTATCTGAGATTTTCAGTGTTTCCGTGTGTTCATTTTCATAAATGAACAGAAGCTGATAATTAGTCCCTGACTTTGAACCTTCCTTAATATGTATATATACATGTATTCACATATATATGCATATTTACATGTGTATGTATGTACAATGAGCATAATAAATACACATAAGAAGGTGAAGAAAGATTTTCCCTCTATATTTTCCTCCAGCAGTTTCAAAGTTTCAAGTCTTACATTAAGGAATAGATAAAAAAAAATTTTACGCTGGGAAGGTGGCTCAGTGGTAGAGCATTTGCCTTGCATGCCTGAGGCCCTGGGTTCGATTCCTCAGCACCACATAAGCAAAAAGAAAAAAAAGCCGGAAGTGGCGCTGTGGCTCAAGTGGTAGAGCACTAGCCTTGAGCTGAAGAGCTGAGGGACAGCGCCCAGGCCCAGAGTTCAGGCCCC